ACGGCAAATCCACGGTGACAGCGGCAAATCCACGGTGACAGCGGCAAATCCACGGTGACAACGGCAAATCCCTCACCTGGGGATGATCTGGGTGCTCTGAGCTGATTTCACTTTCCCCNTTTGTCTCCTGTTTTCTGTGTGCTCCACAGTCCTAAAACTGGTTCTGGGAGCTGGCAGGGATGGGGGAACACAGAACAGCTGCTCTTGCTGAGCTGGAGGTGCTCTGGGGGTTCATGGGGTGCTGCTCCATGCAGAGGGATCCAGGCACGTTCAATGGGGTTAATCCCTTTGGGGAGACCGAGCTCACACCCAGGGTGGGTGCTCTGGAGAGTTCTGTTCCATTTTTCCACACTTTGTCTCCTGTTTTCTGTTTGTTCCGCAGCCCCAGTCCTGGTTCTGGGAGCTGGCAGGGATGGGGGAACACAGCACAGCAGGGATGGGATGCTCTTGGTGAGCTGGAGGTGCTCTGGGGTTCATGGGGTGCTGCTCCATGCACAGGGATCCAGGCAGGTTCAATGGGGCTAATCCCTTTGGGGAGACCCCACTCACAGCCTGGAATGGAGGGTGAATGTTCTGGAAAGTGCCTCTTCTGTTTCGTCACATTTTGTCTCCTGTTTCTGCTGTGCCTCCTGTCTCCTGTGTGTTCCACAGCACCAAAACTTGTTCTGGGAGCTGGCAAGGCTGGGGGACTGCAGCCCAGCTGAGGATTGGGTGCTCTTAGCAAGCTGGAGGTGCTCTGGGGTTCATGAGGTGCTGCCCTGTGCACAAAAATCCAGACAGGTTCAACAGGATTAATCCCATTGGCCTGGGTGGGTGTTCTGGAGAGTTCTCACCCATTTTTCCTCACTTTGTCTCCTGTTTCTGCTGCGCTGTGCCCCAGCCCTGGCTCTGGGGGCTGGCAGGGGTGAGGGAGCACAGCACGGCAGGGATGGGTGTGAGGGCACAAGGAGCCGGTCCAACACGGATCAGGTGTGCAGACATCTGAGAGGAGGCCCAGACATTGGTGAGCACGCATCACAGAATCCTGAATGGTTTGGGTTGGAAGGGACCTTAAAACTTGTCCAGTTCTACCCCCGCCATGGACAAGGACATTTTCCACCATCCCAGCTTGCTCCAAGCCCTGTCCAACGTGGCCTTGAGCACTTCAGGGATGGGGGATCTTCTCTGAGCCCCCTCACCAACATCTCAATGGGGAGCTGCTCCCTCATATCCCAACTCCATCCCCTGCAGTGGGCAGCCACCACCCCTGCTCCTGCCACTCCAGCTGCTTCAGGAGCTCTCTCTGCATGTGGCAGCACCTGTGTGCCCTGGAGATGCCACCTGCCCCATCACCCAGAGCTCCCAGGCCCTGTGGGATCTGTGCTCCAGGCCACCCTGTGCCCCCTGGCTCCTCTCTGTTGACATTCCTGGGCTATTCTGGGAGCTGCCAGCCAGCTGAGCCCTTTGCCCCTTGCTCTGGGCTTGCATCACCTCCTGTGGGTGCTTTTTCCCAGACTCTGTTTACATGGCACCTCTGGCTCGCCCATCCCAGGGGCTCCGTGTGGTCAGGACCTTGGAGCTGGTGCAGTGGGCACAGGACATGCTGGAGCCCTGGCCTGGCAGGGCTTCAAGTTCCCTGGCTTCTCTGCCAACCCCCCAACACCCTGGTGGCACCTTGCATCACTTTGGTCAGGTTTCTGCCAGCCCCTGTCCTGCACATCC